AATTGTTTAGGGATGATGCGAGCCCTTGGAAGAGGAACTCTTAATGTTACGACCATTTCTCGAAGCCGTATCAGCCCTGGTTGGAAAGCTGGTTCAATGCTTACTATCATCACAACTCATCCTGACTCACCTGATCTTGATCAAAACATACTCGATCGACTAGTATTTGAAAAGGCCGACATCATGTATTATGTCGATCGTCTTGCATTGATTGGAAGTGGAGCGTTTATGAACTGTTACAAAGCAAAGGTTGTAATCGAGGGTCAAGTGCGAGATATGGTTGCTAAGCAGGGAATAGGAGCTTCAATCAGTATTGAAAGCTATCAAGCATTGGCACAGCGCTATCTACAAGCAGAAAGGTGTATAGAGATGTTCAAGCTTGCTGTTCAGTCCCATCGAGATGATATTCCAAAGGATATCCATGATCTATGCCAAAAAATACGGGTCAGTGTATTCTCTTCCTCATAACATGCTGAATCGATGTCTAATATTGATTTACCACCCTCAGCTTGTCAAAAACTTTATTGTACACCGAGGACGCTCGGATGATCCTAAAACAGCCGACATATTTTTATTTGAAGAGAAGATTGAAGGAAATTTTGTGAAATTTTTTGGTAATCTATTCTTTGGAATCCCCGAGGACAAGGAGAATGAAACCATATATCAGATTATGCATACATTATCACACAAAACTTATCATGATAGCTATGGTAGATGGATGATTGCAGATATTCAAGGAAATAAAGACGGGCTACTCACAGACATCGCTATCATAGATGAAGAGTGAGTCCTTTTTTGCATTTTTTGTTTGTTTAATGCTCTAACTGAAGACTTTTCAGGTACCCATGGACTATGGGAAACACCAACCGACTTGGTTTGATTGGATTTTGCCTAACAGCAAAATGTAACTCCTTGTGTAAGTATCTTGACCTCCCACCTCCTCGTAGTGCTAGATACCCCAAGCTTGTGAATGGTGTAGTGGTTGAAGGGACTGAGAACAATTTTCCCGTGCTGGATTCTGATGCTGAGCGCTCATGGGAATTAGAGGCTGGTATCCGTTCTATTTGTGCATCAACTCATTGTTAAAAAATATCTTCTATGAAGATAATTTCAATGTTAAATCTCTCATCTAAAATAATAAAAAAGATACTTTATATTCTTTCAAATTTAAAAACTATAGATAATAATGAAATACACATTTGGCCCTCTGATCTCAAACAAACAAACTAAATCTTGCTTTCTTAATTCCACAAAAGACTGAGTATTGTGAGATTCAACATAATGAGCAACTAAATCTGACCATCATCTACTACATCTTCAGAATCTCCAAATCTGTTAAACCTGTCATACTCTTCGTATTCTCCATCGGAGTTCAACATTCCTTCTGGAAATTCATCTAAATCTACATTCATATACTTCAATAGTCCCAGAACTGCTGTAAATACTTCCCATACATTGTTTAGAGTGATCTTGGATTCAATAAAGCCTAGCTCTTTGATTATGTTTGAGACAGTAGAAGCAAATATGGGTGGGGTGATTTGAAATAAAGTTTCTTCATCTGGGTAATAATGAGCAATCATATTTTGTACAAATTCTTTAGGGACCTCGAGCCCACCTTCAGTTCCTTTGTACTTTTCAGGTGCATAATGACACACTTCAGGTGAAACCCCTGTTGGAACAAGGGAATACTTTTGTTTGGCAATGCGGTTGAAGTTACGTTCCAGAATGAAGGAATCTAATATTCTCTGCACAAGCCTTATAAAAAGATGCAGGAACAAAGCCCTATAGACAGAGTAAAAATCATAATGAATATCATGAGTTAAGTGAAAAGATTTAAATGAGGATTGTACGTACTTCTGGATAGATTCTTTAGGGTGATA